TTCTACTCTATGTAGTTTTATACTTTGTTCCTTCCAGTACTGATATTATAAAGATTAAATACTGGAATTTTTAAATACATGCAGGGAAGTATCCCAAGAAATATGTAATTATCCCTCCTTGACTTAGCAATGTCTTCCCATATGTTACTTAGTATCTCTGAAAGTGCAAATTCAGGAAAGCATTTACAAAAAGACACTGCATACAAAGCCATCTACTAGATAATGTATTTGCCTATTTGACAAGCAGTCACACAATGGCAAAAAATGCAAGCTTCCATCAAGACCTTGCCTTCTGGTAAAGTGTTCTCCCATCTGTGGAAGGCATTTGATACAAGATAGCATTTCCAATGGCAGAAGGGCAGCATTTTCACCACCACCTCTCCCCACTAAATCCCCCTCTGCCACCTGTAATTCTGCTCCAGAGGATTGGGGAATCCTCTGGAACAGTAGGAAAGTGGCACTGTGAACTACAGGAAGGAGAAACTGGAAAATATTTCCACCCATTCCACCCATTGCTGGTGCGTCCTAAATGGAACTCCAAACTCCTGGATCTGATCCAATGTTTATACCAAATATTGATTTACTTATATATTGTTACAGGATTGCCCTAACACTTTTCAGATATAGGACATTTCACAATCATGGAACAAAAAAGGTTAGGTTAAATAATGCAATATGGGATCATGAACTCCATTCATATTGATATTAAATTGGCAATGGCACCTTCCAAGATGTAAGCAACAGTAAAGCCGGCATTGATAAATATGCAGAATAATTTAAAGTGGCACAGAACCAATGTATATAAATTAAGGGTCAGCATCTTCCCAAACTCAATACATCCAGCTATATTCAAATTAAACTCTTTGTAAGCAAGGTATATATATGCAATATATTGCAGCCTTCTACAGTTTTTCACACTTTAACACAAGAAATTCAGAAGTGAAACATTTATGGTGAGTTTGCAGATGAAATACCTATTTCTATTTTGTAACTGATGACTGTAAAAGGAAATAAGAAAGAAAAAAATTTCTGTTCTTGTCTGCTTAAGTGACCATTCATATTTCTCACACAGGTGCAGTCACAATTGCTAAAGTAGCACTGGGAAACCTCCAGATGACAAACCTAAGCCAGCCTCCAAAGGCTCCCTAACCAGCACCTACCAAATATTCCCCATGCCAAGGCCTTTCCCTGGTCTGCAGGCTACCAAAGAATTTGGGGAAGAAGCAAGGAACAAAATCCCTTGCATGCTGTTCCCATCCCAACTGAGAGGAAAGCAGCACAGAGAAAAACTCCTATGGGAAATAAGCAGGGGTTCACCTTACTTAGCAGAAGAGGGAGTCAGTAAGCTAACTGTTTCACCTGCTCCACGTGATCCCCAATAAAGGAAGGCAGTTCCCAGCAGAAGTATTGGCTGAGAGAAGGTCCAAGCAGCACATTGGCGAGGAACCAATAACAATGATAGAGCTAATTAGAGCTAATGTAGCAGAGTGAAACACTGCATGATGTTCCCATAAGAACAATGCAGACTGCACAAAGTCAGACACCGGAATAGCAGTGGAAGAAATTGCTGCTCTTTCCCCTTAGCATATAAAGTAAAAGTGCATGGGGAGATCATATCAGTGGCCATGGTCACACTCACTGATGTCATCCAACCTGCAGAGGGTCCAGTTTCCCACCCTAAAGGTAATGAAGTGGAAATAAACCACTGTCCACAAAACAACTGACCAAAATTAACCCTTCCTGCTCTGGTGAGTGTTCCTTCTTTCCCTCTAATTTAAAGTGAATGTAGACTTTAAATTATGTATGCTGATCATCACAATTTTGCACTGAATTACAGAAATCATGCAAGTGCATTGGGGATGGGTGTAATGGGACAAACTTTTCTATGCCAACTGGAGCAAACATAGGAATTTCATGCCAGCAAAAAAGCAGACTGAGATACTACATCCCTCCTCTATGCCCAGCATAGAATCCAAACTAGCGGAAGGAAGTTCTGACAGTTGGTGCTTAGAGCAGGGATACAGTTGTCCATCCCTCCTCTGCCAGCCCCCAGCAGCCTAATAAAAATGGTTCGGGGTGGGAACTATCAAAGGTTTATTGACATTTATTGTTTACTTATGAGTATGTGCTACTGAATTCAATTGCACTTACTCAATGGCATAGAACTGCAGTCTAAGTTTGTAGAACACTAGTTAAAAGACCTGTAACTGAAATAAAGTGGATTTTCCTTTCCTTTCCTTGATTAACAGGTTTTTTAAAAAAGTAACTTTTGGGTCTAAATGAAAGCTCTTACATATCAAAAATCTGGCTTCAGCATGAATATTGAATGAGAAATAAGCCCAATTTTCAGCTTATCAAATTTCTCTGAGTAGTATTTCACTGAACTAGCCTGGGAATCTTCATTTCAAAATAAGATGTGAACCTATGAAAAGTTTCATTGACAAATGAATATAGTGGACGTCATATTTCCTTTTTCAAAAGCTATGATCTTTAACAAGTAGTGTTTGAGTGGAAGACTGAAATAAAAAATCTCACAGAGTAGAGGTCACATGGTACATGGTACCAAAGTTCAATTTGGATGCCAGGAAGTACTTCCTGACAGTTAAGACCCCAGTGGCATGGAATGGGTTTCTCTGGTAGGTGGTTGAGGCCCTATCGGTGAGGGTGTTCAAGGACAGGCTAGACATACACATGGAGGGCATGTCATGAGTGGAGCCAGCTAGAGCCGGGGGTCAGACTAGATGACCCAGGAGACCCCTTCTGACTCACTCTGTTTCTATGTTACTTGTTACTCAAGGTTGCTTTTGAGTTTAGATGCTGGGAACAGAGTCTTACCCTGAAGCCATGGAATGAAATGGGACTGAAATTTTTGATTCACAAACAGGCTGCTGGCAAAAAGAATTGCTGTCTGGAATCTGAGATACAAGGAGTCTGGCTTACAAAAGCAGGGGTCAAGCTGTGCAACAACAGACCCCTGTGAGAAGAAGCTGTATTTATTCCTTCCTACAGCTATCCATTCCATGAGTTTGGAATGTTTCCATATATTCTGATAAGACCCACAGTAATATCAGCTGACTAAAATAATGAGAAAATTTTCCTGTAAGTTTCTGCACACTCAACACATTGCACCTTGTCTGAGAGCAGACTCCTTTAATCTACATCTGGTTCACCAGAGCCTGTTCTTCAATTTTCAGCCTGAAATAGGTACTGATTTATTCCATTATTGATCCACCTTCTTTTTCTCTAAAGATTTAGACTATACTTTATATGGTTCAAATATTCAAAGACTGCATTTAACTTGTTTAGACTTAAGTGGAGCTAAATAACAAATCCTACCGCTGATACTTGGTCTTACTATAAGGGATTATTTTATTTCATTTTTGGTTACAGCTATACTATTTGCTGCTGTTAACGCAGTTTACCTAATAAGCTCAGCAAGAGTTAAATTGTAGTTTACTTTGCATGGTGTAATCTTACCATGAAACCCCTTTGGTTCATGGATATAAATTTATTTTCTTTGTTATCATTGCATGTTTTACATTTTACTTCAGCATGTAATATTAGCTTCCATTTACTCCTCTCTAGAACTCATTCATATTTTATGTGTGGTATGTTTTCATTTGTTTAAGAAGTTAATGGGCATTCACTGTTATGTATTTTAAAATATATTTCTGAATAGTTTGAACACTGGTTAAGAATGTAAGAACTGTGCTGGTTTGCACTCACAACAACCCACCCTGTGAATAAGCTTTGCAGGGTGTGTTGTTCATGAAACAACCCAAGGTAGTCCTGCCAGGTCATTAGGCTTGATGTAAGTTGTTCCCTGCTCCTTCTACCTGGGTCCTTCAACCTTGTCTCCTCTTGCTGGTTGTGACCAGAAGCCTTTTTTCATTCACTATTGCTTCCCCACACCTTTCCCTCCCTCGTTTTGCAATTTGACAGCCCCAAGGGGCATATTACAGGGGCTGTCTCTGGTTCGCTACCTATTTAAAAAAATATCTATCCACCTGTGTATAAATATTTTCATCATCTTTTTGAAAATGTGTAAGCAGATACATCCACTTCTGGGGGTCCAAAATAGGCAGTTTCCCCCACACAATGTTTTCTGAAAGGTGCTTGCTGACAAAGTCCAGCAAGCAGCCACCATGGCCATTAACCCAGAGGTGCTGTACACAGAGTTATTTTTTACTTTGATTTCCTTTACAACTGTCAAAAGTCAAGATGTCAGTGGAAGTTAAGCCAGATAACTGTATTCACAGCAAGATTCTTTACTTAGTTGGACTGAAGCTGTCTTGTCTCAGTGTTCTGCAACTTTTCCATCCTTTCCTGAGACTCTAAGTATTCAGGAAAGTAGAAAAGTCCAAACCATTTCTTGGCATGGATAATTAAATGCATGTATCCCTATTTTAAAAACTTTATTAGCCATTTCAAAAAAAAAAGTTTTAACATAGTATTAAGGGCACACATTTAAAAGAATAATGGCCGAAAAGTCAGTGATAGCCCCTCCAATGTACCACTGGGGCATTTTGAAGGAGCTATCACTGCTGTCAACTTGGAGATGGCAAAGAGTGATTTAAAAAGTGGGGGGGGGGAACCATGGATGAGCAAAAATACTGCTGTCAGTCAGCAAAGGGAAAGGAGGATAAAATGGTCCTGTCACTGATTTTCTAGGATACCTGTGAGAGGATCAACGGGGAAGGAGGTGGTAAACCCACAGCAAACCTAGTCATCTGTGGGCACAACAACATTCTCTAGCTTATTTCCAGCTGGGTTGTCATATCATACAACAGTGAATGTTGTAATGAAATCCTGGGAAAATATTTCTGTAAACCTTTATCAACTATTACTCTCTTCTTAAATAACCAAATTTAAATCCAAATGTAAGCAGATTATAATCATGAAAGATTGTTTTGATTTAGCTACAGATATTATCTTTCAAGTGATTTCTCAACTGCCTGAATTCAGCAGAGATATGCTACATTTATTAGCAATTCACTTACTGGAGTAAGTGCCCCTTCTGCTTGGGCCTCCATTAGGCTTGTAGGTGTGATGGCAAGAAGATGGCCAGCTGTTCCAACTGGAAGTTCTAGTTGATCTGTATAAGGTTCAGAAGTTGCAATGCCACAACACTCAACACCTAGATCCAAGGCGGCTCCCACAGCTACATTCTCGGTATGAACTTTAAAGTTATCGTCCTGTGGGGATTCCTCAAGGACTTGAAGTACCTCCGGCTCCTCATCAGAAGGACTTCCAGTTGTTTTATGTCCCACAACTACATTAGTTCTGAAATCCTGAAGGTCTCGTTCCTTATCGACTATCACCCATTCCTTTGAGTCAACTTCCTGATGGCAGGAGCTCAAGTGGACAGCTACATATCCATTGCTAACACCACCATCACCCTGTTCTGGAGAGCTTCCAGAAACAGGTTTGGAAGCTTCAGGTAAATATTCTTCATCATAGTGCCAAATATGCTCATGACAGGAGGAAGCAGCAGGCACAGGTGTTTTCTGTGAAGCTGCAACAGCAGATTCAATGCCAGCATTCAGCTCCCTCTTCTTCTTCTCCATGCTTGGGAATATTGAGATAAATTTGTGACAAACACAGAAAATTAGTGTTAGCATTTTCTGAACAAGGTTAAGAGCAACAGGATATATAATGCAGGTACATTTTCATTTAATCTGCTATTTTAAAAATATATAAAAGCCACCACATCTGTATTTCCAACCAGTGATCTACTTAACGTTTCAGAACTGGAATCTTCCATTTATCCTACAAAAACCAAGATCCACACTCCTACTATTGAAGCCTGGGATCATCACTTGCAGATTTGTACATGAGTAAGATATGAGTAAGAGTGAAATCTCTGCTAAAGAACTGCTCAAATAAAGACACACTAAAAGCCAAATAAATGCAAAAGTAGCTCAGCACGAAATAAGCCATTACATACCAGATTTCCAGAAATTTATCAGTATCTGGCTTTGACTCCAACATCAGGCGTTTCTCCAGCTCAAAACTGTGAATTGATCGTAGCTTCCGCACTAGAGGGACATCCCGATCTGGCTGTGTGGTCTCTGAGCGGACTCTAATTGGCGAACCAAGGCTTGGGGCATTAAGCATGCCATTAACTGGCCCATGGCTGTTTTCCTCTTCTGTAGCAGCCTATGATAAAACACGCAAGTTGACCATTAAATACTAGGAAAATCAAGGCAAACATTAAGTATAACATACAATAGATAACATACCAGCTTTTCATTTTGGCAAAGCATAGATGCAAAAGATTACATTTCATACATTTGTGGCCCTTGGTGGGTCTCTCCTGCAGCTCAACAGTGCTCTAGGCACCACAATCCCAGATTCTATACTAAGCCAGTGTTCCTCATGTCAAACTAGTATGGAACAATTCCACGAGATCTTCTTTTGAGGGGACATCAAGGAGGCAGTCATCCCCTTGTCGGGGAAGACCTGAATTCCTTGCAAATGGAAGTAGACACAGATGACTGTCATGCATTTGGTAAACAAATTTTGGTAGTAAGTCCACATAGGAGAACAGAAAAATTGAAAAGCTTCTGTACCAACTTGGAAGCACAGGAAATGTTGGCAATTCTGATATATTGTAATATGAAAGCAGACATCCTTCAAGTCAATGGATGAGACCCAGTCCCCCGACACAGCAATGGTAAGATGTTCTGCAAGGAAACCATTGGAAACTTCTTCAGTGTGATGGAGAAATTGACATTTCTGAGATCTAGAATCAGGCAGAGACAACCATCCTTCACTGGTACTGTAAAGTACCAGGAGTAGTACCTGTATCATAGGTCAGATAGAAGAACAGGCTATATAGCCCCTTTTGAGAGCAGTGTAGCTACCTCTGCCAGTAGGACAGGTGATGATGGCATCACCCAGACAGAACCAAAAAGTGACAAAGTGGCAAATTTGATTTGGTACCCTCTCTTCACTATGGAAAAGATCCACCTATCTGATGTTAAGGTTTCTCAAATGGGAAGACAGGTGGAGAGATATCCATCAAACCAGACGGGAAGGGAGCTGAATGGTCATACTAGTCAATGTTGCCTTTTCTCTGCTTACAGCCTCCTCTTGGGTTGCTGAAACAAGCTAGCTGCCTCCCTGAGCCCATACTAGGTGGCTGCCTGCTGTCCTGGAAGGTAGGAGCATTCCCTGAGGCTGGTACATGGCATAAGGGGGCCTGATCCACTTATGTGACTACTGCAATTGCTGGCTAATGCCCATCTTCCTCACTGCTATCCTAACTTCTGGATACAGTCAAGCTATTTGTTGGTCCTAAAACTAAAGTGGTCCTCTCTGTCAAGCAGCAGATCTTCAGACTGGCACACCTGTTGGGACAGTCCTGCTGCACGGTGCCAGGTGTGCCAATGAATTGTCACCATGCCGGTGAGAACTCTGAAGTCACAGTCAACATGGTGGCGTGTTGATGGGACAGAGGGAGGGCCTTGAACTGAAAGACTCAGGCCAACTCTATATTGCTCTAGAAGTATTGGCAGAGTGTGTAGTGGAAACAAATCTCTGCTATACTGTTAAGGCCTTAGGGCTGGGGTGCTAGCCAAGTATCTACTCACATGCAGTGATTACATGGCCAAGTCTTATAGTGATGCATGTCCAAGAGAGAGTCAAATCTCTTATCTTGCTTTCTTACATAGAAGTGATCAGTATCTCATCTTGTACTACTGCCAGTAGTATTTTCAGTATGAAAGGGCTAACTGGTACCATGAGAAAGTTCAGAATCAAGGATTCTGATGGCAACTAGATGGTAGGGATAAGCAGCACTAGGCATGAGTTTATTCTCTGTTCATGAGCTTTGTCCTCCTCATTCTTCTCTCATTAAGGAGGCAAAAGATTTAAATGACCTTAGATCAGAAAATTTGAAAATCTTGTCTTCCAAGCCAGCTTTTTCCACTGTGGAGAATGCCAACAGAAGCCTAGGTATAGATGAATCTGCATGGCCCATAATTAGAGCCTGCAGACAGGGTGAAGAAGTTTTGCTGTCCATCAACAGAGTTTACAGCACCAACATCTCTTACAATAGGAAACTATGCCTAGGCTAATTGCAGCTTTTGGGGCATCAGCAGCCTCTAATACTTCCTGCCAATGCACCATGTGGACTGTATCAACTGTTTCTCCTCAACTGCTTAAGAAGTCCCAGCAATGTGGGCAAACATCCACAGTATGTCCTTCTCCAAGACTAAACAAGCAGAGTGAATGACCATCTGTTGGTGAGAGCTCCTCTCCACATCTGACATACTTCTGCAAGAGTTTCTTCAGGGCCATACATTCAAAGAGGGTGTGCAATCAACAAGATTGCCAAATAAAAGGAAAAACAGAAGAACTCTAATGCAAAGAATATGAAAGAAAGAACATGTATATGGAAGAAGAAATAAGAAAAAGATAGGAAAAATCCTCAGTGGAAGTGAAAACTCAGTCTAAAAAAACCCAGAAGATTGCCTTAGAAGGCAACCACTAAGGCAGTCAAAGAAAGACTGAGGAAACAAATGGAAATCCACTAGGGACATATACACTGATATGGTGGGGGAAGTTTCCCTCCAAAGCTTTTCAGCTTATGGAAGGATCCCAAATGGAGAATCTGTGCAGGCGCAGTCTGCATATGTGATATACGGAGACCATGGAGAAGAATGGATTTTAAAATTATCTTCCCCCATATATCAGCCTACTCAAACCAAACCAAGCATCATTTAACTATCTTCTCTGTGTGTTTGTAGTATGCTGGACTGGCTTGCCAATACACTTCTAAAACATTATTTGGTGTTACGTCCAAACACGAGATCATAACTTTAAAAAGGGCAAAGTGTGACTCTTAGACAAAATGCAACAGACTAACAATGAAGATTCACATACATTGCTTACTACTATGTAAGATACACTTCATTAAGAAAATCCCTGATGTCGCATATACATATATAAACAGCATTTAGCCACCCAAAAATAGGTTTGGGGTGAAAGTAAAATGGCGTGAAAAGAATTACTCTGAACAGACTAGAGTTACAGGTCATCCAATGAAACTGCTTAACAGTACATTCTGAACAAGGCAAAGACAGTGCAATTAACTGTATTCACTGGATCAGGATACAATGGCATCCTTTATCTCAGATGGCTTTCAGATCAGATTAATACATTTCAAACAATTAAACAACAGTGAAAGATGAAACTTTCAAGTTATATGTACATCAGATATAGCATGGCCATTCCACCCCGCTCATTCATTTACAGGAGCATTTAACCATCCATTATGGGAAATAGTGTGCTCTGGCTTGATCCAGTAAAGGCAAATTTTGTTGTAGAAGCAGGAAACAATTAAATATAATTGTTTATCCAGCTATTGTACTTACTTTATGGACACCTAGTTTTATTTTATTTCTGTTTGCATCCATTTCTTCCCACACATCCTTTTCCTGAGGACGATGTCCAGGAGATTCTGGTAACTTTTCTGGAGAGATTCCAACAGGAATACCATTCTCACCATCACTAAGCTGCTCATCTGGAAACACTTCATCTGTATTCTCTCGCAACAAATCTCCTGGTATTGGTGTGGCATTAGCAATTCTATAAAGATGTGAAAAGTTACAGTGAGAATATATCAGCACATTAAAACTATGGCTGCTACATTTAACCAACCCAATCAATCACAGACCTTCCAAATAATTAAAATAATGCTCCAATTAACTGCTTGAAGTGGGATTCTGTTCCTCTTCTGCCCCCACAACCTATTTCTAAATTGGCACCTGACATTTCCTTCCTTGCCATGAGTGGCAGAATCAGAACAAAGGTCTGCTATAGGCACAGAGATCCACTGTTCCCTGTGTGATGACCACCAATGAATCTTTGTGAGATGGTGAGCATGGCTAAAAGACAGGCAAGGACAGGCTACTTCAAAAAGGAGCTCTGAAAGGCAAGAAGGAGTTAATATCTCCCCTTCCTGGAATGGCTGATGACTTGAGGAAGTACTGAAAAGGTACAGAGCAGGGCTGTCAAGGCTCCCCCGAACCTGGGCTTCTCCTTGTGCTTGTCCCTTGCTGAAGAAGTGAGCCAAGCACAGAGTGTTCACAAACACCACTGGAACATGACATGTGCAAGCATAGGCACAGCCAGATACATGTGGGCAATTCCCTCTGTCCCCACTACAATAACCCCTACACCCACCTGCCTCTATTATGCTCCATCCACATGGTATATTGCGGGGGTGGGGGGGATTGTGTGTCTGTTTCTACACAATTTTAAAAATTTAGAAACAGAGTATTACCTTGTCCCTGCTCCTTTTTGTACTTTCCCTACTTTTTCCCATTTACCAACACTTTTCAATTAACTACTAAGTAACTTTGCAAATTTGCCTATATGTATCTCACTGCCTCAGTTTCCAACTCACTTTACCACCCTCTCAGACCGGTGAAACATAAAAATTCCTCTGTACTTGTGAAAAAGAAATAAGTTCATTACAAGGAATAGCTAAAGAACTGCACAATTTTCCGGGGCAAAATAAATACAACCCCAAGTGAGCCATATTTGAGTTCAAAGAGAAAAAAAAAACAAATGTAAAGGAGTAATGATTGGAGCAGGGAGAAGACAAGAATGGTTCTGTCAATGGCACTGGGATAGTGGCTACAGAGTCAAGGGGAAGGACAAGCCACAGGAAATTCAATGATCTAATGGGTGCATTGTGATTTGTCCCACAAAAAGTCTGCCCTGGGTACTTTATTCACAGGGTAGGTTATGTATATTATTGTAAAGGCAGCCATTGCTGACTATCCAAAAAGCATAAACAGGATTTTCATATGATCCCACGTGAACTGGTTTCTGATTCTTTAACCATATTGAAGGAACAGGGAATTATTTAATCTTCTTTGACCATAAGTATGCTATCACCTCAACAATATACAACTTCAAAATGTTAACATTCTAAGCATTACCTAGTATGACATAAACCCTAAACCTCATCAGATTTCAACTGTGTAACTTCAAATAAGGTAGCCTCTCACATGCAGTAACAGGAGCACACAAAAACCTGGGGATGACTTTTCTTCCAGAAAGGTAGTGGAATAATAACCTAGCAGGTGGTGCTATGGGGACACCATTCTACCCTGAAATCATTGCAGTTGTATTCATAGACTCATAGAATAGCTGAAAGGGATCAGAAGACCATTAGGTGGAACCCCCTGCTCAGTGCAGGACTCCCAAGTTAAACCATCCTTCTCAGATGGATGCCTGGTCATATTTTGAATGCCTCTGGTGTGGAAAAACCCAGAACCTCCATTGCTATACTGCTCTAACTGTCTGGAAATCTGTCCTATATCTAGTCGGAATCAGACTTGGTATAACTTGAACCTGTTATTCCATGTCCTGCACTCTGGGATGACTGAGAAGAGATTCTGCCCTTCCTCTTTGTGACAGCCTTTCAAGGCTATCATATCTTCCCTCAGTCTTCTCTTCTCAAGGCTAACATGCCCAATTCTTTCAATCTCACCTCATAGGGCTTTGTTTCCAGTCCCTGGATCATCCTTGTTGCCCTTCTCTGAATCCTTTCCAACTTGTCTGCGTATTTCTTAAACTTTGGTGTCTAGAACTGGACATAGTTCAGTTGTGGCCTAACTAATGCTGAGTAAAGGGGAAACTAGTACTTCACATGATTTGGAAGTGATGCTTATATTAATGCAGCCTAAAATAGCATTTGTCCTTTTTGAAGCCACATCACATTGTTGACTCATATTTAGCTTGCAATCTACAATGATTCCAAGATCCTTATCACTTGTAGTATTGTTGGGCCAAGTATTCCCTGTCTTGTAATAATGCATTTGGTTTCTTTTTCCTAGGTATAAAACTTAACATTTGTGTCCCTAGTAAATTTCATCCTGTTGTTTTCAGTCCAACATTCCAACTATCAAGATCACCTTGAATCTTCTTTCTGTCTTCCCAGGTATTAGCTATCCCACCCAGTTTTGTGTTATCTGTAAATCTGATAATTGTTCCCTGAATTCCCTGAACCAGATAATAAAAATGCTGAAGAGCACTGGTCCTAGGACTGAACCCTGCAATACCCCACTCTTATCAGTTTGAGAAAATGCCACTGATGAGAACTCTTTGAGTCCAATTCTGTAGCCAACTGCAGATCCACTTGGAAATAGATGTTCCATCTATTTGTTCTTGAGAAATCCATGTTGGCTTCTAGTAATCCCTGCACTGTTTTCAAAGTGTTTTCAGACTGACTGTTTTATAATCTGCTCCAGAATTTTACCAGGGATTGACATCAGGCTGACTGGTCTGTAGTTACCAGGTTTTTGTGTGTCCCCCCGCCACCGCCCTTTCTTGAAGATAGGGACAACATTAGCCATTCACCAGTCATCTGGCACTTCTCCATCCTCCATGAATTCTCAAAGATAATAGACAAAGATTCTGAAAGTTCTTCCACCAGCTCCTTTATGACTCTGGGATGGACTCCATCAGGCCCTGGAGATTTGAACTCATTCAACCCTATTAGATTATCCCTGACCATTTGCCTAACAATCTTGAGCTGCCATCCTGCTCTTTCAGATTGTACTTCTCCTTCATCAGGAAGGTCTTTCAGAAGAAGACTAACCAAAGTAGGAATCGAGTACTTCTGCCTTTTTGTCATCTATTATAATTTTGCCATCCACACTGAGTAGTTGAACTCTCATTTCTTTCCTCTCTTTTTTACTTTCTTGTTGCTTGCCTCTCTTCATTCCCAGCTTTAGCCTTCCTGACAAAACTTTGTAATTCCTAATCTGTCCTCCAGGAATACAGCATACCTGACAAATTCATGGGTCATTCTGACATGCATGTATTTCCATCCCATGCAACAGGAAGTCTCTTAAGAGTTAACACTCTACTCTCTAGTTATTTCAAGCCTTGGTGTTATTGTTATTACTTTAGCCTTTTATTTACTGCTTCACAGGATGTCTTGCAGTGCTCCAACAGCAGGCTGCCCTCCAGTCTCATCCCTGAGTAACTGAAAGTGGTTCAAGACTTCCACAGCTTCCACTGTTGTAGCTTATAGATTCTAGTTCTTCTGCACATAACAGTCACTCTTTTCCAGGGAGTGTCCTCCACATTTTCCCTTCTCTCAGAATTCTCTTTTTTTGCCTCAGCTTGTTGTTGTACTTCCAGCTTCTGTACTACTCTTAGCTGTTGCAGTTCCATCACTCTGCCTAAAAACCCTTCATCTTCTTTTATTACCTTGAGGGTGGATACTTGCTGCTCTAGTGCTCTCACCTTCTCTTCCAACAGCGCTACTAGCTTGCACTTATTGCACTTATATAGATCATGCTGACTTCAGGCAATAAAACAAGTATCACTGGGTCCATTCTTTATGCTACCTTTTTAATTTACTTGTTGGGGTAGTGCTTGTTCCTGTCTTCAATAAAGGTTAACAACACAGTCCTCCCTTTGCTATTGTAGATTGCAAAGCTATGGTCAACTTGGATTGAGCTATCAAAGTCAATACTGTAACTCTATTGGTATTGCTCTTTAAAATGAAAGAAGAGCAACTTGTTTTTCTCAATGCTGGCACTAGATCATTCTATATAGGATCTAGAATGAGAACTCAGACACAGATATGTCTGGGATTGCTAAATCTCTTCACAGCAGAAGAAGTGACTTTTTTGAGAAGACCAAAAACACTAAGTGCTAAAATTATGAAAGATTTTCCCCAGAAAAAAGTGAAATAGTTGTTCATTAACGCCTTGTTATGAATGGTGCATATCTGGTTCCCTCATAATTGCAATTATTTATATTATGGGCAAAGAAGAACCTGACAATATTTTTCTATGCTACAGAGTAAACAGGAGATTAGTCTATACAACAACATTTGGCACTGTTATAGAAAGAAAAATGTAAACAAAGTATAAAGAATTTTAATGGTATGAGCCAGTTCGCATGATCAACAGAAATGCTCTGAAATACCCTATGGCAGCTGGTGTCAGTCGAGTGTGCAGCTGAGGAGTAGCTGAAGTGGTGGTGGTAGTCAGAAAACCATCAGCTCCACTCTTTTCCCAGTCAAATAGGTCACTCTCATTCACTCCAAAAGTCTTCATGCTGTTGTCAAAGACGGACATGAGAAGCTATAAAAATAATATATATATTTATAAACCCCGTTGAGTTTAGTGTCATAATATGCAACCCTATAAACATCTGCTCTCAGAACATTTGGCTTTGATGCTTAATATAGATCTACTCAGATAAATTCAAAGTAATATTTCATTAATATATTTAACAGAGTATAATTAGTCATTTGCAGTGAATCAAGCCATTTCTTGACCAAATCAGGGTTTTTAGCATTGATAAAGAGATTTATTTTGTCAATTGTTTGGTGCTTCAAGTCCTCCCTTACATTTTTTAAAATCACTATGATCAACAAAGATGCAAGTTTAATATAATAAAGGCCTGTCCAAAAGCCACAGTTCAAGGGCCAAGGCATGGACTGAATGGAAAAAAACTTCACCGGGAGGACCCTCTGTCAAGTACATTGTAAGAAAACAAAAAACAACACTTTAAGTCCTACTGCCATCAGAATGAAATTCCTACCCAGATTCATCATACCAGAGTAAAGAAGAACAAGCTCCCCAGAAACAGAAATTCAGAATGTACTGTCCTCCCTTTCTCAAACTTCAGAAGTAATAAACTTGTGTCCCATTCCTAGGGGATGGTCCAGAGCAGCAACATGGTGTGCTGGCAGTTTTATTTATATATATATATATATATATATATAATGAATATAGGTTGCCCCATAAATTATTGATCATGTGGTCCTTTATCCCCTAAGGCTGTTCTTTGAGGTAGAAAGGACTGAAGAATACACATTTTTCCTGATTACCAAACAACAATGGTCAGAAAGACATGGGAATGCTTAAAATATAAAATTAACCTCTGTCAAGAAGGTCAGAATTTGTAAAGATATGCCTAGAGGCATAATGCAGTGAAAATTCAATTCCTAGATGCATGTAAATGAACTAACAGTATTTGTCTCACAGATACTAAAAGAGAGGTTTATAAAAAGCGGGGGTGGGGGAATCTATTTTTAACTTTACCTATCTCCAAATCTGGTTAGCATGGATTTATTTGGATATTATCAACATAGCATTAAAACAGAGTATAACAATAATGTGCATAATTAACTTTTACTACTGATTGGGAGAAATATAAGAATAAATATCAAAATGTTTACCAAAGCAGGCTAGAATAGTAACAGGATAACACAAATCATACGCTGTGATGCCAAATTCTGAAATTACAGTGAGTGTTTTGCTTCTCTGATTCTATCAAATGGTATTTGATGTAGGAATTAAAGAATGAAATTCACTGTTGCACAAGAAGGAGTCCACTTGAACAACAGGACCTTCATTTTTCTCCCTCTTCCCCAGCACCTCTCATAAATCTGCTTCTGAAGATTCCCCATCTTCCAAAGCAGGTTTTGAAGGCATGTTGGTTGCTGCAAGCAGAGTTGGGGATCATCCAGAATTCTGTTTTGTTGATGGAATCAGTTCCTTCAGTAGAAGAATTTAACTAGATATCACTCACAAACATAGTTTGGGAATATTTTTAGAAAATACAAAAATGTAAAAGCAGAGGAATATTAAATTATGTAATATGTGCCTATTAAATATGCTAGAATAAACATTTTCATAAGCCTAGACAGTATAAAGCCATATATTATCAATATAAGTTATGAAGTAAGAAGATGTACTAGACTTAAAATAAAAATAATACCTGGTAATCAGGTTTGGTAAAATAATCTAAAGTAGAAATGTGATCCAGAAAGATGTTAAATTCCTGAGGGAGATGTTTTAGCATCAACCGGTGGTCATATCTCTCTTTTATGGAGCCCACTTGCTCCTGCAAGCAGGAAAATGAAAGGGTTACCATACTTCCCTTACTAAAGAAAAATATTAATATACTACTTTATAGATGTTAGAGTAAATCTCATATTAAACTGAAATTTTTATGCTTATAATACTGCTTTATAATATTCCTTCATTTGGCTACGTATCAACAGCTCTGGTCTTAAAAATCAAGGACCAGAGCAAACTTTAATCCTTGCAAAAGGCCTTATTTAAGTAAAACAAATGCTATTGAATATACCTCTGTTTACTGAAGCCTGAACCCTCCTGTGTAAGAGCCATTTGAGCTAAAGCTGAACTTGTGCCAAATACTGTAGCTTCAGACCCAACTTAATCTTTTCCAAAAGCAAATGTGGATCTAAGTTGACCTGTCACAGTGAAGAAATATGAAATTCTGTGCAAGAAGACCTGGCTTGATCATGTCATGGATGGGTTTTATTACTTCTCATTTAGGTAAATATAACTCTGTACCAGCTGTTCAAATAATTAATGTACAGAAATAACATCATTTTCTAACTACTTCTATGTAGTAAAAAGAATGTCAAGAATATATGCAGTATCCTTCGGATCAAACTGCAAGTGCTGTTACATGATCCAGCTCATATGTAACAATGGTAAGCAGTGATTTGTCAAATTTCATGTCCAGCATGTGCTGCTGCTGATTTGCATGCACAGTCTCAGGGCATTAAGTAAATTGTCAGCTGTTTAATCCATGAAAAATCTATCACCCAGGTTCATTTGATCACTGCAGCTTAAGCAAACTATGGTGGCTTGCTTCAGCCACAGCATATGCTAGGTACCATTTGCCTAATTTACCCATCTGGGTACAGCCTGTCATGTAGTCTGAATCCAGGCAGCATGGCTTCCTTGAGGAAGAAACCACCACCACCACTGAACAACCCAACTACAGGCTATGGGTTATTTGAGGGTAATCTCATCAAACAAGTCATGTTGCTCAGGTTTGAACAGCACAACAAATTGCAGACAGGCAGTTGATAAGGTAAATAGCACCCACCATGGGTTAAATGCCATTTAAGGTGCAGTGATCATCTGAATTGGGTCTTTGGGTTACTCATGGATTAAACAAATCACAGTTAACCTACAATTTGTCTTTGGTTAACTGTAGGTTGTTTAACTCAAGAATAACCCATGGCGTCCGGGTTTGCATGTTATGAAAGAGCCTCCAACTGGACCAATCAGAGGCTGATTAAGTAAAGCAGCAGCAGCACACACAAGCACACAGCAGCAAATGTGTGTTCATTAACCAATGATTTGCCACTCTTACATGAGAATGGACCCACTGTGTCATTTGAAAATTCATCAGGAATTAAAAATGTTAACAAACATCAAAGAAGCAATTTTCATTGGGTCGCAGCTTTACCTTCTCCTTCACCAGTCACAATCATGTAAAAAATGATACATACTAGCTGCTGTTAGCATTAGGAAAAAGGTCCTATGGGCACCAAAGCAAAAAGCAGTACAATGAGGTCTGTTTTGTCAGAATCACTGCCAAATGGGATTGGATTAAACTTTCACACAATGCAGGCCCTAGGAAAATCATTCCCCCATTTTTATAATCTCTGTTGTGCTTCCAAGTAATGAATTTAACATCACATCATTTGACCCTAATTTTATCTCTATTTGTTACATTTTCTCAACAGACCTTGTCTTTAATTTTCCTCCAGGGCAGTTGTCCAACCACAAATTCTACCAACATGTAAAACAATGACCAGAGGTCATCATGACGTCCCATTTCCTATAAAAAAAAAAAAAGACTGCACATTGTTATAAAGCCAATTCCCTGTTTATATAAATGTACTGTATTGTATAAAAAATACTGTATTCACTAGCCAAAACTTTAAAATCAAGACAAACTATGTAGATAAATATTTTTATCTTAACAAGTAAGTGATGATACAGAAAATGAAACCCAAAATCTTAACACTTTTGCAATTAGATATTCTAATACCAAACTTAATTTCAAGCATGATCCTTATGAAGCCAAAGCAATATGATCCATAGACTAGGCAGAGTTAATCAGCAGGTTCAGAAGAAATTCAAGGTTTGCAAAAGGACAAAAAAACCTTTCGAAACAAAAAGGGAGAAGTCAAAAAAAAAAAAAAAAAGTCCAATGAAAACTAGGCATGCACTGTAGCCACAGAATGCTGAATGAATATTGGAGGGAAGAGGATTAGAGTTTTCCAGAAAGAAAACAGAGAACAAAAAGGGGATGGAATGGAGTATACTGGCATGTCTGGTTGGCTTGTACTGACAAATAAGTACTCTGTACACTGCAACGTTTAAGTGCAAATGCTACTTGTAAGGAAATAAATTCTAAAGGTTTAACTGTACACCAGGTTCAGGTTAAATGAGGACAATAAAGCAACTATAATTATACTCATTTTTATAGGCATAAACCAGAAACAGAAGTTTTAAATTATTTTGAATATATTCTACATCTTTCCTTAACATCAAATTGTATTCTTACCTTGTTCCAATTACCTGGCTTAACAATTACTTGTGCACTGCTGTTCACAGAACCAACTGTCTTTCATACTGTGCTCCTGAACCAGAGACCTGATCTACCCCTAGCAAATATACACCCTTGTGTCACGTGTGTAATCATTAATACTTCTAATCTACTCAATTACAAGAGATTATCAGGAAAGTTAGGCTAGAGTTTGCAGAAATGCAACAGCCCGATTCTGTGGCTCATTTAGTATACTCATGGAGAGCTACCTGTTGCTGTTGCATGCCATGGAGCACACAGCTATACCTTACAGTATATGCAAAATCATCAAACTGCATCATACAATGTTTACTTTAAAAAAATCACCAGTTCAGAAACATAGAGAGGTTCTCTGTTCTGCTTCAACTAAAATCCAGCAAATGAAGAAAATTATCTACTACTTTCCTTCTGTAACTAGAGTGAATACATTTCTTGTTGCTTCTATATCTCTTTTTCCCATACAACCAAAGACTAACCCTTAAACAGTTCTAAAAGAATCTGAGATGACAAGAAGCAGAGGCTTCTTACCATTTTCACTTTTTTATATTCAACTTCAAGGACATAAAGTTGAGTATAACACTATTACTTTGGATAATAGTTATTTTGAATATTTATTTAATATTTAAGAGAAGAGTACCTTTCTCCCAGCATAAACACCACTTTCTCAATCTCTTATATAGGAAGTAGGCATATATGTCCTTTTCCTTCTACCCTTGCCCTTAAAACTCTTACCTGTTCCTTAGTGCAAAAAGTAATAATTGCACTAAAGTACCACATTAATTCTCTGAAATTAATCCTTCCTTCATGCTTTCTAATATGCACACACTGCAAATAAGCATATATTTTGTTTTTAAAATCTAGCATAGCAAGAACTAATACATACAGATGTATCATAAATATTAGTCAAACCATCAATCTCTTCATTTTCCACAGGTTAATATTATGGCACTTGATTAAAATAGTAGTACACTTACTAAAAAAAAAATTTAAACTGTAGTTACTTCCATTACCAGAGTGTGCAGTCTGATTATAGCACAAGCAGACATCTTTTTCCCGACTTTTTTATACTTCAAACAATATTACATTGTTAACAATATTAAACAGAAAAACATAGGAAAGGCATAAAATTATGACAAACACAGCTTTTGTAATGATGTTAATTACTAAAAGTTCAGGCTAGTCATAGTACTAATACTCACTCTGTTCCTATGAGCATTGACTGATGCATATCGCACTGTCCCTCTAAAACCAGCAACAGCTCGGGGCTATCAATGTAAGACAGGCAAGAAATTCAATATTACTGTGTATGCCAATATTAGTTTCAGTTATATATAAAAAAGGCTCTACATAGGTCCTCTACTTTGGAGCCTTCCATTGCTAATGGTGCACAGGACTCTTTAACCTCTTGTATATGCAATATAATCTGTATGATGAATGGAAATTAGATGAGGATAGGAAATAACGACAGGCATTTTGGATTATGTTTTGTTTATGAACCCAATGTCTTTTTAACCGGATTCTAACAAGGTATCAAATCTATTTCCAAAAAGGCACAGGAACAATTCTCACGAGTGAGAGCAAACCTGCACATTGCCACATACTACCTACTTCCTCTTTTCAACAAGAGGTCTCTTTACAACAACCTGTAACTGGCTGGGTCATAGGCTATGAGTATGACTTAGGGTATTTAGGAGCTAAATAACACAGTGGCAGTTAATAAACAAACTCATTTCTGCTGTTGAACTGCACATTGTAGGTTTCCTGGATCATCTGTCATTTTGCTTTTCTCAGCAGTCAGGATTTTCAGGATTTTATAAATGCAATCTCAGCATGTTCATATCATTAATATTTTAATGAAAGATTATGTGTGGGAAGGGAGGCTGTTTCACTCATTATTGATTTTCTACGGGCTGCTTTTCATCCAAAAATCAAAGTAAAATGCTTTAAATAGTAACAACTAAGTTAACTTTTAAGATACTTGCCACTTCACTAGGAATATAATCTAAATACACATCAGAACAAGAATTACTATTTTTTATGGCTAGCATAGTACTTTCTTCTTAAGACAGGCAGAAAGAAAATGATGCTATGCTTAATTTTACACCAATTTCTATGCTTAATTTTACACCAATTTGCCTATATATGTAGATGACCAAATCCTACATATAGACTGTCAAAAATATTCTACATTATCTCAAAACTTATAATTATGTTAATTACATAAGTACTACTTGATTGGTATGGAAATAAACAAGGGTTTTTTTTCCTTTTAAAATGTGTTTCTGTATTGTAATAGTCCTATACTGAATTTGACAAGGGTGCCTGGAGGTAAATGAAAAACAAGAATAGGATTCTGTTTTATTAAGCATCACTCACAGGGTTTACGTAAGTAATGATGAGTTGTTAAGTCATGCAAATCTGGACCCCTTTTCACAAGGTGGCTTATTTAAGGGCAGCAAGCCCCCCTGACAACCCATGGCTTGTACTAAGGGCTGCTAGACCTACGATGGCACGGTAGAGTGACTGTCACTCACTCCATATTGCTCTTGCCAACTATCAGCCCAATTTTGCTCACTGCAGGTTCCTCCATCCCAGTCTGTTTTACATACTCTCTGAGTTGACAACCAATGACAGCTCCTTGAGAGTGCCAAAGGGGCATATTTAAGAGATTATCACTGAGTCATCATTCAGTTTTTGTCCCTCCAATGTGTGCAAATGTTTGTATATCTGCACCTAGGACAAGAGCAGAGGCATGCACTTCTAGGGTTTTAAAAGACAGAACTTTAAATAAAAGAAAAAAACTAATTGCACAATTATCTGCATGTTTATTTAGAGGCAAGTCTCACTATGTTCAATGAGCCTTATTCCCAACTTCTCAAGCAAGCATGCACAGTATTGCAACTTAAAGTTGTCAAATGTTTTCAACAAGATGTAGCTAACAGAAGTAATTTAACAAAGAAATAGAAAAACAGTTCCTACAGTTTTGATGTCATTGCTTTTAATCAGGACTCAATCTGCCATATTAACATTCCACAACACTGGCTGCTACAACAGCTCAAAGCATACCACACACTTTAGTACCAACACTTTTTCAATTTGTATAATTAAAAGTAAGTCTTATGTATCTTTTTACACATGAAGTCTTGAGTACCCTCTCCCAGATATTTCTGAGAATGAAAATATGAGAACTTTATTTTCATGTGAACACAATGTTATTGTGGCAAGCCCTTTGGTCATTAGTATTAAGAACATTATTGTTTCTGTACAGCTGGAGAGAGCGCCTTGGAAAATTACAGCTGTAGAAGTCTGAAATATAGGATTTTATATGTTGGATATGGCTGTCAAATTACATTTCTTTCTAAATATATTACAGATTTACAGCCATGACACTCCGAGCTGCCCATTCTAGTGCAGAATAAATTTAATGCTAAAGCACTTTTAAAGCAAAAATACCATAATAGCTAAAACTATTCACTGTTTAGGACACCACTATCTGTTCTTCTGGAATGAAATCCTTAAGTCACTTTCATGACACCTTTTGAAGGAAAACATATTTTACTGGTTATTTTAAAACAAATAGATGGATATATCAACTAGCTCACATCAGTGGTCTCTCCAAGAGTTGGAAAGGCTCAAGCATTACAATTATCAGCCCAGTGAGTTTTGTTGCCAAGTGGGTACTAGTACTTGGATCTCCTGGATTCCAGTCCAAGACCACTACACTTTACTGTCTCTCAATATACCATCCTAGTGATGATGAACTCCATATTTTGGCTTTGCCAGTCTGATGAATTAGAAGTATGCATAAGTATGTGAGGCCATACTGAATATGCTAGGACACATAAAAAAAATAAGATAAACATGCTTTGAAGAGATAATCTATGTTTGGTAATTATTCTTTTGGTAAAGCAGCATTTTGAAATAGAGATACCTTGCTTTCTGTTATATCTTTGAACTAGATTCACTGTTTTCACTAGTCTTGGTTGCCAAACTAATACTAGTGGATGCCAAGATCCTTTGTAGGAGCCCTGACTTCATGCTGCACTGCTATGTGAGATTCAGGATACCCCATTTCTCTACTCAAACTGTTGAGATCACATCCAGAGTTAAAGAAGGTCAGCTCACATGTGGGAACAATTCCAGCCCTGTCCCAAAGCTGATGACTGAAAGAGGGGTTGTTTTGGCACTGGCACTTGGGAGAGTTTCTGCATCCCAATGACCAGCTTCTCCTTCTAAAGCAGAAGTTCAGGCTTGGGTTATCAGGCAAGCAACCCCAGCACCAAACCAGCTGGCCCCAGTCTGTCTCTGGCGGTTTGTTTTGATGCTGAAGATGTAGGCATTGCAAGTGCTATTGCTATCCAACCACAAAAGTAGCAAGGCCTAACTTTATCTGGAAAGTTAGGAGCTCTTTTCAGCACTGTGCATGTAAGCACCAGTACCCTCCACCATCCAGCCTAAATTAGCCAAGGTCAGGAGCAAGAATGTTTCTATCAATCAGGGCATTCCCAAATCCATCTTTCCCAGCTTCAGGCTGAGGCGGGGGGGGGGGGGGGGGGGAGCTCGAGACTTGACATGCCACTCTCACCAACTAATAGCCAAGTTTCACTCACTAAGGCACTTTGCTCACACATTTCATACAAAGCAAAAATTAGTTTAATGTCATCTTCAGTGAACAATGAGCTGCAAACGTTTTTAAAACACTGTTATGAAGATATAAAAACCAAGAGCTGAGCAGGGATGTAAAGGACAGGACATTTTGGAAGTCATTCATTCATAGGGTCACCATCAGTCAGAGATGACTTGATAGCATGCAACAACGACAATGACAACAAAAATTTTACAAAAAGTTTATTCCATTTTAGTAAGGCACCATGATAAAGGAAAATTAATCAAACATGTATTTTTAATCTTTACTATAAACTCCTTTGTTTTTAATTTCAAGAATCGCAAATGGGGCTTTCACAATACAAAGCTAAGGATATTAGAGAAAAAGAAAAGCCACGCTGCATGAGACCAATGGTTCATTCAGACTGTTCACACAGTGGCAAACCAGCTAAATACAATATCCCTCAAGCAGGATGGGTACAAGACCTCCTCCTGCTGAAGCACCTTAGCAATCAGTGTATGCAGACATGCTGCCTCTAGTAAAGGAGGTAGTACATAGCCATTGATGGCCTCCTCCTCCTCCATGAATTGGTCCAATCCCTTTGTAAAAGAATATTGTATTTATATTGTATTTTTATTCTATTATGTTTTATAGTTTTTGTTATTAGTTTTTTAATCTGTATTTTTATTATTGCACCGGGAGTTCCCCAGGGAATCTCTGGCTATGGGGCAGCATACAAATGCAATCAATCAATCCAAATTGGTGGCCATCATCACTTCCCATAGCAATGAATTTGATAATTTTGTATATTGTGTGAAGAAGTATTTTCTTCTATCTGTCCTAAACATCCCACCAATCAGCTTCATGGGATGATCCCCAGGAGAGAGAGAGAAATGCCTCTGTACGTTCTTCATACCATGCATAATTTTAATTACTCCATGTCTCCCCTTATTCTCCTTTTTTTCTAAACTGAAGTCTCAGTTGTTGTAGTCACTTCTCATAAGGGAGCTGCTCTAATCCCTGATCATTTGTTTGTCCTTCTCTGTACGCTTTCCAACTCAATAATGTCCTATTTCAGGTAAGGTGGAATTATACACAATATTCTAAGTGCAATCACAGCAATGATCTGTATAAGGGAAGTAAGGTTTTAGCAATTCTATTTTCTGTTCTGTTTCTAATTATGGTTAGCATGGAGGCTGCCTTTTTCACAGCAGCTGTGCACTGGGTCAATGAATGAAGACTGTATGCAATCAACTAGTCATTAATATTTGCCTAATGCAACAAGAGGGAAAGAATCCACAACCAATAACTGTTTTCCATTCTTGGATAAGACATCACACAATGTTTGAACTACAAATAGACACATAGTTGCTATAAGAAAGCTACAGTACAAGTTCCCTAGAAACACAACAAATATTTGTGTGATTTGAGAAAGCCAGGTGTATATTTGAAATATCTCAAATTCCTTGCTATGTACAAAACACCTGCTTAATCAGAGGCCAAATCATACCCAATAGGGACAATCATACTTATTCTTCATGTGTATGCACCATTTGCATATATAAGCAGAAGCCTAATTGTATCTTCAGAAGGGTTAATGAGGGAAACAAACACTTCTTTACATAATGCCACATGATCCTTTGCCCCAGGCACTTTCTACCATGCCTAATGTGTTGAAGCAGTGGACCACAGGGAAGTGAGCAGGGAAAGGGAAGGGGATTCAGCTCCCCTCACTCAAATGCCTAACAAATGTGGCTGCCACTATAATACCTGATTAGGAGTAAGGTCCCAAAATGAAGAATACCTTTTGAATCACTATTAGGTATCTCTGATCACCCAAGCAAGCCTTTGAGAGGCTCTAATATTTTTGTATCTCATTCAGATTCCTTATCACTTCCACGCCATATGTTCTATCATATACCTTTTCTGCTTTGTAAACAAACAAATGTATTACTGAATGTATTCCTGAACTGATCTATTATACCCCAAGAATTTTTCATTACAATTCTGTACATTTTCTGTTCTAAAAATATTCATTTGTCTACTTAGGTATTTTAACATTTCTCAGATAAAGCCTAATTCTGCTATTGAAGAGTACATTCAAAAGCCCAGATACAGTTTCCAGTCTGTGCACCAAAACATTCAACATTGCTCAAGGTCACACAATATGTCGATAACTCAGGACTAAATTAGAAGTCACCCAATTCCTGCTTCTTCAAACTAGCTACAAGGATCAAATATGCCTCTCAAGTTCCAAGTGAAATACATCAAATACAGGTAAAACAATTTATTCTGGAAGGACTTTAAAAGATTATTCTACATACTAAACTTTAAATTACTGAAAAAGTTTAATTCAAATTTCTTACTGGTCTGACATCCCCGCATGAATTTGTAAACTGACGTGCCAAGCCAAAATCCAACATGTAACACTTCCTCCAGGTGCTTGGAAAGCGTCCCATAGCAAAGTTGGACTGGTGGAGAGAAAAGAGAAAAAAGCATGTTTATCTTTTATACTGAACAGGCTATTTACTACACTTTCTGTTTCCACATTATATTCATGGTTTACACTATCTTTGCAAAACAAAATGTATTTCATATCATACAAGGTGGCAAAAAGTCTTCTAGTACCCTCCAGCAGAAATCCACAGGACATTGAATTCAGGACATTGAATAATATAGAAAAACTATCAAGGAAAATAGTAGTTTTCTAGTACTACAATAAGGTAACTAAGGATAGAGATTATAAACTTTCTTCTGCATTCCTGTCTGCCTTGAGAAAGTAGAAGTTATCAATAAAAACTGCCAACTGCCAGAACTTCTAACTTCTTACCTCAAGATTAGTCTCAAGTATAGTATCTCACAATGTTCCTTGAATGAAGTTGAAATGATTCCAGAACTCCTCCACGGCTCTCCAGTACAGACTATTATGGAACAAGCTGTTTGTTTAACTGTTAACATTAATGTGAACTCTTTCCCACTCACCTCTTGGAAATGGTTCTTGCTCAAGTATAAAGAGAAAAACAGCAGCGTATCTTTACTCAGTCTGCATGTATTTTATGCTGCTCTATGGTACTGGCACACAAATCCAATCCAATAGCTGGGTGAAAATCTGATACATTTTCATAATTTGTCTCCCAGATTCCAGTTGTGTTAGTCTTCTACTGACACTGACCTGCTGTTGAGCACAAACAGCCAGCTAATGAACTTCCATCTCTAAGACAGGCTGCGGTTTGCACTTTCCTTTTTTACAGAATAAGGAACTGTGTGCCAATCATGCTGTTTGAGTAAACTGAAAGCCAGAAACTATGGAGTTCTAACACCATTTGTGCAAACAGCACTGGAACTATGATGTTTCCGGCTTCCAGTTTCTGCAAACAGAATGAATGGCACACATTTCCTAAGTGATTTAAAGAATGCACAAATCACAGCTTAACTTAGAGAGACATCCATGGAAAGCAAAATGAGTCAACCCACTAATAGTAATCAGATCAAAGCAGGCAGGAAGTCCTTTGTGCTCAAATAAGCTAAACTTCTCAGTGTGAGCACATCCCCAGATCAAATGGAGTAATAACCATGGAACTTACTTATTAATACTTATAGTTTAAAGTTAGGCTCTAAGCCTTCATATGGTTTGACAATCACTGTAAGTACACAATTGCACACACCTAAGAGGTGAGTTTGCACAGCATGAAAAGCCATTCTGTGAATACACTGCATGGTATCTTTTGTTGTTCACAAGCCCTCTGTACTCAACAGAGGATTGGGCTTGCTGTGGGTTGTTCCTTCAATTACTTCCCAGCCTTAAAATTTTCCGACATTTCCTATCCAAAACAGCATACCTTTATTTATTTGTGGCATTTGGATCCTATTTAACTATATTATTCTTCAACAGTTCATATGCAAAAATTAAAATCCCATTTAATATGCAATATTAAAACCAATGACCAAAAAAGAGCAATACATAAACAGAATAGAGCAGCATGCTTAATTTAATTATAAGCCAGGGAAAGCCTAAGTGAACAAATGGAGTTTCACAAGATCTTTTAAACATGTTACATTTTCTGCTTCCTGAACGATGTGGGGGAGGGTTTTCCAAAGGGTAGGCACCACTACCAAGAAAGCCCACTGCAATCAGGCATTTCACGGTAACCCTCTGTTATTTTTAGAACAGCCAGCAGGGCCTAATCTAATGATCTTAAATCTTAGCTAGGCATATGTAAAGAAAGACAGTCTGATAAATATCCTGGCTTCTTAGGGCTGTGCATGATAATAGCAGAATATGGCTCAATAGCTGATGGACAGCCAGTTCAGTTTCTTTTAACACAGATAAGTGAATATGGTTAGCTCTGTCAGTGCTTTATCTGAAGCTTCTGAACTAGTGACAAGGATAGCCCTTCATTTAAAAATATACAGTAGTAAAATTGTGAGGTTACCATTTCATGAATCACTGTGGCTAAACTAACCCTGACCCAGGAATAGGAGCAGTTAGCATATTGTTAATGGAAACTCTGGGCTGATAAGGTCATATGGGCCTCCACTGACAAAAGCTGAATCCAGGAGTAACCCCAGACTAAATACCTTCTCTTTCAGGGGCAGTGCAATGTCATCTAAACTGGCAAACAGCCCAATTTCTAGACCTGTAAACTGCCAACCCATAAGATCTTTGTCTTACCAGGATTCAACTTCAGTTTTTTGGTCCTCATCCAAGCCAAAAGCAACATTCAAGGTTCAGAAACGTGCATGAACTTTCCCAATTCAGATGTCACAAAGAAATAGAGTTGGATGCCATGAGTATACTGATGACACCTTGCCCCATATCACCTGATGTCTGCTCCCAAAGGATTGATAACATTAAATAATACTGGGAACAAGATGGTCCCCTGTAATACCAAACAGCTGATCTACCATGGGTTCAAGTCACACTCATCCAATGCTATTCACTGAAGCCATCCTTACAAGTACAAGTCAAACCACTGTAGAACAGTGCCTCCAATTCCAAGCTCATGGAGGTGGTCCAGGAAGATACCATGGTCAACGATACCAAAAGCCACTGGGAGAGCAAGAATAGAGCTGCACAGAAAGGTCATCCAACTGAACAAGTTCAGTTCCATCCTAAATCTGACCTTAAACCCAGATTGGAACAGGTTTCATTCAAGAGCACCTGCAGTGGTGACATCACCACTTTCTCAAGCACCTTACACAAAAATAGTGTTTATTATTATTATTATTATTATTATTATTATTATTATTATTATTATTATTATATTTCTATGCCGCCCCTTGCTGAAACCTCGGGGCGGCTTACAACACAATAAAATACATTGAAATACAACAGAACATAATAAATTACCATTAAATACAAAAATACAAAAAATACACTGAGTTACGAATATAAAATTAAAATTATCAGTATAAAATAAGTAAATAAAAATATAGGAGGAGAAAAGAGAAGGAAGAAGAAGTTGCCCTGGCCAGATCATATGTTTTAACAATTAAAATGATGTTTAAATAAAAAGGTCTTTACCTGGCGCCGAAAAACCAGTAACGACGGTGCCAGGCGGACCTCTTTGGGGAGTGAATTCCATAGGTTGGGCGCCACCACAGAGAAAGCCCTCCTCCGGGTACTTACTCTTCTAATTTCTTTCATGGAGGGTTCCCGGAGAAGGGACTCTCCCGCAGATCTTAAAGGGCGGTCGGGCATATACGGACGTAAGCGCTCGTTCAGGTAGCCCGGACCCAAGCCGTTTAGGGCTTTATAGGTCATAATCAACACCTTGAATTGGGCCCGGGCTTCAATGGGAAGCCAGTGAAGCTGACGGAGGACTGGAGTCATGTGAGCATAACGCCCCGTCCCCGTCAGCAACCTGGCAGCTCTATTTTGCACCAATTGAAGTGTTCGGACTGTCTTCAGGGGAAGCCCCACGTAAAGCGCGTTACAGAAGTCTAGGCGGGAAGTCACCAGCGCGTGTGTCACCGTCGCCAGGCAGTCGTACTCCAGGTAGAGGCGCAGCTGATTAATCAGCCGAAGCTGAAAGAAGGCGTTCCTCGCCACTGCTGTCACCTGAGCTTCCAAAGAAAGCTCCGGGTCGAGGAGTACTCCTAAGCTGCGGACCGTATCCCTAAGAGGGAGTGTTGCACCATTCAGGACCAGGTCAAATCCACCCTCTCCGAAACCCGATCCGCCAACCAACAGGACCTCCGTCTTGTCTGGGTTGAGTTTCAGTTTATTGGCCCTCATCCATTCCCTTACCTCGGCCAAGCACCGGTTCAGCACAGCCACTGCCTCACCTGGATTAGTGGAGAACGAGAGGTAAAGCTGGGTATCATCAGCGTATTGATGATTCCACAGCCCACACCTCCTGATGACCTCTCCCAGCGGTTTCATATAGATGTTAAATAGCAGAGGGGATAGAATGGAGCCCTGTGGTACTCCACTACGTCATAACTGCCATGACGTAGAGACATGGTCCCCCAACACTACCTTCTGGAATCGACCGTCGAGATAGGAGCGGAACCACTGCAAAGCAGTGCCTCCAACCCCCAATCCCACAAGCCTATCCAGAAGGATACCATGGTCGATGGTATCGAAAGCCACCGAGAGGTCCAGAAGAACCAACAGGGATGCACTCCCCCTGTCCTTCTCCCTGCACAGGTCATCGTACAGGGCGACCAAGGCAGATTCAGTACTGTACCCGGGTCTGAAGCCGGACTGAAAAGGATCCAGATAATCAGTTTCATCCAAGAGTGCTTGGAGTTGTCCCGCCACCACCCGCTCCAACACCTTGCCCAGAAACGGGATGTTGGCCACAGGTCTATAGTTAGTGGCCATCTCTGGATCCAGTGACGCTTTCTTCAGAACTGGTCGTATTACCGCCTCCTTTAAAGGGGCAGGCACTCGACCCTCCCTCAGAGAAGCGTTAACCACTTCCAAGATCCAGGTCCCAATCCCGTGCTTGGAGTTATTTATTAACCAAGACGGGCAAGGATCCAATAGGCAAGTGGTAGGACGTACTCGTCCAAGCACCTTGTCCACATCATTGGGCCGCAATAATTGAAATTCCTCCAATAATTTTGGACCAGACGGTAGCATTGGCGTCTCCCCAGAGACCTCTGATTCATTAGTGGAGTCCAGCTCGTGACGAATCTGAGCGATTTTCTCCTTTAAATGCCTGGCAAAGTCGTCACAGCGGGCCTTTGAGGGTGGCATTGGATCTTCCTTAGGACCCGGGCGAACCAGGCCTTGCACCACTCGAAAAAGCTCCGCCGGACGGCATTGTGAGGAGGCAATGGAAGCGGAAAAAAACTTCTTTTTCGCCGCCTTCACCGCCACAGCATAGGCCCGATAGTGGGCTCTCAAGTGTGTTCGGTCAGATTCATCCCGTGATTTCCTCCACCTACGCTCTAGTTGTCTCCCAACCCGCTTCATCGCCCGCAATTCAGGTGTATACCAAGGGGAAGAGCGGACTCTGCCCGGTGGGAGAGGACGCTTGGGAGCGATCGTGTCCACAGCCCTGGTCATCTCTCCGTTCCACAGTTCGACCAGAGCCTCGACAGGAGCACCAGTCTTGTCAGCCGGAAACTCCCCCAGGGCCTTCAGGAATCCATCCGGATCCATCCGGATCCAGGGGCAGGCCCATACAATCGGGTCCGCACTCTTATAGAGGGAGAGGCCGCTCTCGAGCACAAGCCTCACCAGGAGGTGATCTGACCATGACAGGGGAGTCAAACATAAGTTCCTCACCCTCAGGTCATCTTCTTCCTGCCCTGTCGTGAATACCAGGTCCAGAGTGTGTCCACGTTCATGGGTCGGGCCGATGACGTGTTGAGACAGACCCATGGCCGTCATAGAGGCCATGAAGTCCTGAGCCGCCCCGGTCAGTCCAGACTCGGCATGGAGATTGAAGTCCCCCAGGACCAACATCCTGGGGGTCCTCAACACCAGGTCCGAGACAGTCTCTGTCAGCTCAGATAGGGAGACTGCTGGGCAGAAGGGTGCACGGTACACCAATAGAATCCCCAATCTGTCTCGTTCGCCCAACACCAAGTAGAGGCACTCCAGCCCTGGTCTCAAAGGGACCGGAAGACCCGTGAGAGAAATGGAGACTCGGTAAACCAACGCGACTCCCCCTCCCCTCCCTTCTGGGCGTGAACAGTGTTGAACCAGATACCCGGGCGGGCACAATTGGGAGAGGGCAACATCCCCTCCCTCTCCCGCCCAGGTCTCCGTTAAGCAAGCCAGGTCGGCCCCCTCATCCACAATCAAGTCATGGATGAGGGAAGATTTATTATTGACCGACCTGGCATTGAGCAACAGCACCATCAGGCCCGAGGGGTGGTTGACAAGGCTACCTGGTGCCCTCTGGTTGGGGGCAGGACCAGAAGGAGGGATAGGTGTCAGCCATCTGTCCATCCTTCTTCTACGTGGACACATTAAGCCCCTATTGTTGTAACGACCATTGCCCGTGACCACGCCAATAGCAGCGCCCGTGTGTTCCCCAGGATATATAAACGTCGACATGGCCAGGGATGACTCAAAGCATTGATTAAAGCAGGGTAAAATTATAAAGTAGGTCGAAAGAGGAGAAAAAGAACGATAAAAAGAAAAAGAAAAGGGGGGGGGAAGAAAAAAAATCCTTCCCCTTCCCTAAGATTCAGCAGTAGGCAGATGATAGTTGAAATAGATATCCAGAACCGGGGAAGTCTTTTTCAGGAGTAGTTGTACCACTGATTCCTTTGAGGAAGTAGGGACCACAACATCATGCAACAATGCATTCAACATTCCACCCCCACCCCATACCTAGTTCAAATAATAAACTCATGAAGAACAAATTTTAAGAGACTATGCGTTGGAGTTCAAGTTCAAAACTGAACTGATCTCACAAAACAGGAAAAGACAATGAATGCACTGGCCACCTCAACAGACACAGCATCAGCACTAGCATTCAAGTCAGCATGAAGGTAAGCAATTTTATCCTCAAAATGTCTTGCAAACTTATCACAGCAGGCATCTGAGGGTTCCAGGATAAAGGTAACCCCTGAACCACTCAGAAAAACTCAACTGGACAGCTACATGAGGATATGAGGGAAGTGAAAAAGTGAAAAAGTAAGCCTTTTATTTTTTTTATCGTCATTGCCATGTAGTAGATATAGTTAAACACTCTTACATGTGCCTTCCGACCTGTTTCACCATCTAGAACTCCCCAGTAAACCAGGGAGCCTTCCAAGCTCCACAAAAAAAAAAAAAAAAAAGTGTAGAAAAAGACACGATGAGAAATTGTGTCAATGGTCAATGGTCTATTGCTCCTTACCATTCCATAATCTGACAAGGTCTCAGCAGAACCACTAGCTCTGACTTCTGCAGAGTCCCCCAAAATATTTAGAAATCCTTCAGATTCCATAAGTTTCCAGGGATAGATCCCCCACTTCTGCAGCGTATCTGTGAGACCGACTTTCACCAGGAAGTAGTCTGACCATGACATCAGGGTGATTTCCACCACTATCCCTCCATTATCCAGAGCCCTCCTCATATCCTGAAGCAAAGAATCAATGCACTGGGCCAGTAAAAAATTGTGCTACGGGGCCTGGATAAGTGTAGCAGCAGCCCATAGGATTGCTCAGAAAAATCATTTTGAGGATGAGGAAGAGTTCTGATATCCAAGGGCTTTATATTAGAGCCCAACTCTTGGCTATCAGCCACCACAGAGGTTTCTTCAGTGGCTGGCTCATAAAGGGGATGAAATGGAAGTGTCAAGGGCATGGCCGTTGAGTGGGATGGGCCAGGTATATGAAGGACCCTAAGCTCTCCCCCAATCACAATGCAACAGCCACCACACATAAATTAAGTCACAGTGGCCTGTCATCTCACACAAACCAGGTCACTTCCTTCTTAATAGTCTTATATCCAATTTCCTGGGTTGTTCTCTGTAATGACAACAGCTGCGATTTAAATCCTTGGTTTAGAAAAAAATACAGAGAAACTCACTGGTTTAATATCTCTGTGTAAAAAACCCACAGAATGAATGCTTTCAATAGATTCCAGAATTTGCTTGCCAAGGCATAAAGTAGTACTAATTGAGAAGGTCCCCCTAGTCTGGCTTCGACGCAGATCTGCCAAGTTCCGGCCCTGCAAAAGCAAGAAAGTGTTTTTAATGAAGTAATGGATAATATTAAGATTTTGGACAATAAGATTATAAATGTAACAAACTCACCTGCAATTGCATGACCACATAGTTAAATCTGTCATTCCTTCCACAGCCAACAAACTTACAGACATGATCCTTCCCTGAGGGGAGGAAAAGTTACATATTATTTTATTTGTTCTCATTTTTTCTCATAAGCTGGAATCTAAAGAAGCACTGATGGAAGGGGTTTGGCAGAATATAACTTTCTTGTCCCCCTTTGTCCATTGCCCAGAAAGCCTTCCTGAGAGTCAAGGGATTCTTCTGGATAGGATGAGCTGTGCTAAAGGAAGCTGAGGAGAAGGGGGAGCACCAAAATCAAGCAGAGGGTCTCGCTCACAGTAGGTTCCTCCTCCAGACTCTAGAAGGACAACCAGCTCCTTTTATTTCAGTCGCCTGTGTTACAGCTCATCCCATTCAGGAGGGTCAGCGAATCCTCAGGACAAGATTTGGGAGGGAGATTAATCTACTTCTGCTTGTGCTTCTTTGGATTCAAGCCAAAATTCATATCTCACAGTGGTAGCAAAGAAACCTCTTAGACAGCAGTGGGAAGCATTCTCCTCTGCTTTTCAATGGAGACCTAAGATCAACCAACCAAGTACAAACAGCAGCTCAGGTTATGGCCTTATTCTTAGAATTAAGGAGTGGTACGCTTAAAGTGACCTCCGTGGCCCAAAGCATCTTTTATCACCTTCAGCTGATATGAGAGCTAAAGTTGCAACCCAGCCTGAATGGAAATAACTTAGCCACAATTACTTATCTCCTATTTTAATTATTATAATGTTTTGTATAGGCAACTTTTACAAGTAGTTCAAAAATTGTAGTTCATCCAGAACGGAGCCAAGCTTATTAACTGGGGCTGTACATTCTGAACATATTCTACCTGTCCATTGCAGTGGCTTACAAGTAAACAGATGATTCATGTAAGTATTGTGAAAGTTACTGTGTGACTCACACTTAATACCTTTACTGGGTGTTCATATGCTATAAATCCAGCCACTACAAATGGAACTTAAAGAAAAACACATATAGCACTCCACATTTTGCCTAGAACCAAGAATATCCTTGCCCGCTTTCTCTTGCTCAGTTGAATGTAACAGTATTAAGTTGAATTTATGATCCATGATAGCACTTTCATCCATCTTTTACCTCTCTGTATTGGGCCTTCTTTCTGAACTATGTTTGCATTTTTTATTTCAATGGTTCCAGATTTATCCTTATTCAAAGTGTTTGTTCTCTAACAAATGCATAAACATACTTTTCATTTCTTCTAAGTTATTATTTAAAATATTGAAGAGTCTGGACCTCTGTTAACCCAATTATTCATTCTCTACTAGTTTCAGAATGCTATATTAACACTTCAGGGGGGTAGCTCTTTTTTCAGACAGTTTTATATCCATCAGATAGTAGTTTCTTCTATTCGATACTCTTCTAGCTTGCTCATGTGCCCAAACAGACCTGTCTAAAATAGAGGTGGGCAACAACTGCCAATGTGAGGCAAAAACAGCTGTCACTCAAGATAGAACATTAGATGGAACAACATTCTACCTCAAAATCTCCTAAGGGAGTCCCAGTTGAGGGGTTTTACTCATGCTTTTTGGACTGGAAAATAATCTTTTCCAGTTCATTTTGGTTTGTGACTTTTCTGTTCCCTCTATTCATTGCGTGAAATTAAACAGGTTCTATTGTGCTATTCTTCTTTGTAACCTCATACATGGAGAATATAGTCCCATGTCCAATATTTTGAATGGGAATTGGATTTTACTGTTTGTATTTTATTAATTGCAGTCAGAGTGGAATTGTCAATTTATCTATTTTATTTTGATCTATGTTGTAAGCCATCCAGAGACGCAAGTAATGGATGGCATACAAATTTTATAAATGAATAAATAAATACATTTTAACCATAGCTAACATAAGAAGGTTTGCTATATAATTAATCACACATTCTTATATAGTAATATCTCCCAGTATTTTAAGCCTGCTGGTCAGAGTGTGTTGGTCAACAGAAAGTCCTGACAATATATTCAATATATTCTGGAAAGTATATATTGCTCCTTGAAAGGATCAGATTTGCAGGATAAGAGTGCTCTTTGATCCCATTTGCCAGGCAGTTGCAAAAGAGCCTTCTCTTGAGCTGCTTCCAAACTGTGGAACCGCTTTCTCAAGAACTACCATTACCACCCACTCTCATCTTTTATAAAGTGTGTGAAGACAACTTCTTAGTTTAGTAATTTGAATTATACAGATCTTTAATGTTATGCAATTTTAATGTACTTATTTTTAAGGTTTTATTGTCTTAAATTGCTGTACACCAACCTGATGCCATTTTATCAGCTACATTCATAATAAATGTCACTATGAAATAATGAAAAGCTAAAAGAATTGAACGAACCACACTGTATTTGGCTGTCATAGAACATTCAGACTAGACAACTTCCACCTTCTAATGACTGGAATAGTCCTAGTATTAGAAAGAGAAAAATACTGCAAACATCCCATCCACACTTTCATAAACTGAACTTCCAGGGGCCCTTAAACTTTATCAGCTCTGCAGCACAGTGTTCTGAATTTGATGTTCTGGGGACTATCAAAAGATTTGAAAGGTATCTCCAAACTGGAAAAGAGATGCTGTTGTATTCATTTGGCAATCTATTTCTTCACTACCCAATGGAACCCACTAACACCTCTGGTAGCATTTGGATTTTTTAGTCCAGAGTTGTTTGAATTGGATGCACAGACTGGATGCATAATGTGCCTGAACTGTATCTTTCCATCTAGCTGTGGTACCTTGCCACACTGTTGGCTGCAGCCTGTATGATTGCAGTCAGAATCCTAAAGATGTATGTCACTATCGGCTAAAGCAAGAAAGTATTAGGTTTCATTCCACAGCTACCACCCCAAGTTCTTAATCTTGCATTATGTCCCCAATGAGCTTCCAATCCCAATGAACACATGTGTTGGAAGTACTGTAGAAGAGGAAAAAACAAAGAGAACTCTGGAAGTCTGAAGACAATTTCCACAGACATAGGAATACAGTACTTGGAAGATAAACAATGGTCTTGGGAGAGTTACATAGGCCCACTGAGCTTAGAAGCATAAGAAAATCCAGAAATATAACAGCCTCATGTTGAAGAAGGCATAGGAAAAAACAACATTATTCAGTGGAAGCCAGAGTCATTTGTTCAGATGAAGAAAATCTGAGCAGAAAGTTCTAACTGCAACAAGTTAATTCCAAGGCAGTGAAACAAGTCTACAATGGAAGGCGATGGGTTGTGATCAGATGAAATTTGCCTGTGTAGACAACAAAGTCAAGGAAGATGATTGATTGTTAGTTTGCTCAATATACCTGAGCATTAATCTGCCATCATAGTCTGTCACCCAGAAAACCACTATTCCTGTTTACACAATGAATCAAAATCACTACCACCACAATTTTTGTGAAAACTTTTGATGCTAACCAAAGAGGAAGACATTACCTTATGACTGATATTAAAGCTAGCTAAATAACTTTCAACATGTTGGACAAATAGATATGTAAAATAAAATATCCTTCAGGTCAACAGACAATGATCCACCAAAAACTGACAAAACTCATCAAGAATATTTATCCAAAACTTCCTTATACAGTGGTACCTTGGCTCACGAACTTAATCCGTTCCACAACTCTAGTCTCGACCCAAATCAGTTGTGAGCCAAGTCAAATTTCCCCATAAGGTTGAATGTAAATAAGGTTAATCCATTCTGACCCCTATGAACATGGTCACGAGCTGATTTTGGTCACGAGCCAAGTCAAATTTCCCCATAAGGTTCAATGTAAATAAGGTTAATCCGTTCTGTAAATATTTTTTAATCACAAAAAATTTGAATCAGAGTAACAAAGAACAACAAAGTAACAAAGTACAGTACAGTAGAGAACACTAACACAGGTGGGGGGGAGGTTATTGTTTGGAGAGAGACTCCCCCTCCATAAGGACATTGGAGAGATCTCTTTCAGGGGTTTCCTCTCTCCTTTGTCTCTTAGCTGCAGGGTCAATTTTGGTGAAAAACCTGCATATTGTTGTCACCTTCATTACTGCTCTGCACATTTTTTTTAACCACCATGCTTGCTCTGCACTTTCTTTGGAGCCATTATTCAATAAGCTTCATAGCAAGTGACCACAGGTCTGTCTGCGACCACGAGCAGGGAAGATGGTCATGATTGCAATCATGTTCATGCGGGAACATGGCTGTGATTGTGGTCATCACCCAATGCGGAGTTCGCGACCTGAGGCTAAGTTTTTCCAAAATTTCTGTTCGCGACCCAATTTGGTCATGAACTGAGGCATTCATGAGCCAAGGTACCACTGTATTAATAGGCCTTCCATTTTTCCTCATTGAGTACCCAGCTATTCTGTGCACATGTTTCAAAAGCACTAAATAGTTCCTTTAAAGAGAAAAGAACCCCTTGGTTTCCATGGTCAACAGCTGCGACCAATTTCATTCTGTCTATCAGTAGATACATTCCAATGGAGTAAAGATCAGGGAACCAAAGTTCAATTTTATGCCAGGATGTCCTTCCTGACAGTTAGGACCCAGAGGGTATGGAATGGGCTTCCATAGGAGGTGGTTGAAACCCCATCAGTGAGGGTGTTCAAAGATAGGCTGGACATGCACAAGATAGGCACGTCATGAGTGGAGCTGGCTGGAGACAGGGGTCAGACTAGATGGCCTGGGAGACCCCTTCTGACTTGCTCTGTTTCTGTGTTTCTAGGAAGCAGAAAGTAGTGATGGCCCAGTTCAAAAGAAAGGCTGCATCTTCAGTGATGAAGTAGCTGCCATCAGGAAGAGCCCTGTATAGACCAATACAGTGGGTATTAAGTGTCTCTTCTCATAGGTTTTTAAAGCTGTACAAAATTCCACATATATTCCCATGAAGGTGCTCAAATTGCTCTTCAGTTGCATCATGAGCACAGTCAGCAAGATTGTTGAACTCTCACCTGAGAGTTTCTTCTGGGCTACTGCATTTCTCATGAGTCTGACTCTCTTATTCAAATTGCTTCTTCTTGCAGTGTTTATGTGGAGATGCCTCAAACACAGAATCAGCATCAAGGATGTCTGCAAC